TTAATATTCAGAAAAGAGGCGTGCTGAAGCTGCAAGAATTACTTTTGGTGGTATGCAAAATTTGTGGAAAACAAGTCATCAATTTTTTGATCAGCTTGTGGCAGGGTATTGTACAAATTCGAACCCTTCTTTTAAGAGATTTTGTACAAATAATGATATAATTTTGTATAATTTTTTATTAAAAAATGGTCATTTTTTCCAACTAGTCAAAACTACTACCTTCATAAAGTTTTTCAATCAATCATATATAATCTTGTGCACATTCACTTAATTTCTTTTATTCAAATCATAAAAGTTATATCTTTAATTATGTACTTTTAGAAGTGCTAGCTTTGATCAATAAGAAAGAAAATGTTATATGCTTAATTAAAAAATATTGAAAAGTTTCGTCCTTATTAGTAGGAAATCTCCTAATTTCAACAATTAAACATGAAATCCTAATAATTGACGATGAGAAAAGTTTTATGATGACAACATCGAAGAGTTAGCGGTATGATTTAATTTATTTTTTGCTCTTATTAGCATAGATAATTATATGAAGATAATTCATTGTGTTCTTTACATACATTTTTGTTCAAAATAAATATCTAATATTCTGTCATTTTGATTTATTTTGTTTTGATAATGTTCTTGGGCTTTGCTTTAGTTTAGTTTGCATACTTTATATAAGGGTTTCAAAGAACTCGGAAAGTAGTCAAAAAAAATTAACCAATTAAATCTCGTCTAATCAAATATTGTATTTATATGCTAAAAGGTGAGCGCTTTTGGTCTATTTGTAAAGATTCCAATGTAAGACCAAACACATAAACATGCCTATCTTTGACTGGTCAAAGTCTTGATAATCATAAATAATTAATTTGAATTGCTTTCCAACTAATATTGACACGGTTTGGGAAAGACCTGGTTTTTGCTTTAGCTTTACTCATTATTCTTTATAATGTCTAAAAGCTCTTTTTCAATGTTACTCAATGACAATTAGTCTCATTAGTTAATTAAGATATTTCCTTATAATTGCTCTCTCATAATCAATTCCTAACTAAACTAAAGATTATGTTGTTATGCATATTCTATGGTTAATGATGATCCACTGATCTATTTTAATATTATATGAAGGCCACAATAAAAAAAAGTTTGCTTTGTGCTCACTCAACACTCCCGTTAGTGCAAGTATTTGGATTTTTTTTTTTTTCTTAAAAGACTCTTTTCAAATATATTAAAGGTGTTTAGTAAGTGTTAAAAAAATTTGTTTGAGAGTACCATTCATGAGTTTAAAATTTTATTAGAGAAATATTTAAAAATGATTTTCTAAAGTGAATATTAATTAAATTTTGAAAAATTAAAATTTTAGATATATATTTTTTTAAAAATTGCTTAAAACACACTTAAAAATTAATTTTAATTGTTTTCTTTTAATTATATTTTAAATTTATGAACAAAATAATACTTTTAATATAAATACATTTTAAATTTTACTATACACCTTTTTTAATCTTGACTAAGTTCACGAGATGAAAGAAGAGAACAATAAACATTAACTTGGTTTCTCTTTCATTATAATCTTCAATTAATATATTAACTTTTTCCATGGAAAGAATATCAATTCACAAACAAGAGGGAAGAACAAAAGCAGAATCCTAGAAGAACATTATAGCATGAAAATTTTAATATTGTTATTATACCTCTCAATTTGAGTGTGAAGGGCATGAACAAGGAGTAGAAAAATGTTCAAGTCGGAAAATGCACACTGCACTCAGTACCAAGAATCCAAGTTCTCGGTACTATCCGTCTTTAATTCTCATAGCCGGTTGGGGAAAGTAGATTAATTCCTTTTCGTATATATTCTGCAGATGTTAAAACTATCATATGCGGATTGCTGAACAAACTCTTTATTCTTTGAGTACTGATAGAGTTTAAAGGGGGTGTTTAGTTTTGCTGGTTTTATCATCTTATAATTTTTTTTTCATAAATGTTATGTTAGAATATTTAAAAATATTAACCTGTAAGTAAATTTTAAACTAATATCAGCTAATAAACAATGTCTAACTTTGTCAAAATACTATATATTATTTAAACTATACATGTCACTTTCAATATTAGTGATGAATTGATGAGCAATAGTGTGTTTTCGATAAGGTAGTTTTAACATAAATTAATGATGTATTAATTATATTTTTTTATAATTAATTTATATTAAAAATTTAAAAGTTAATTTTAATTTGATATTGGTGATAAAAATAAGCATTTGTTTAATATATAGTTTTAGAGTACATGTTAAGAGGATATTAATTAATTGTATTTTTTAGTTAATG